TCTCCTCCAACCGCTCCCTCCCTTCTCACTGTTGACCACTAGTGGGATCTAGAAACTCTTAAGCACACCTTTAACACACTATAGGTAGTCCCTACGAGGTCACCTCCAAGGGTCCTCGGGTGTCTGGCAAAGCCAGCCCCTAATCAAGGGTCCGTGTTTGTAGAGGGATTTTCCCAAGTGTGAAATCGGGCGTGTGCACTAAGAGCATTCCCAAGCTCAATTGCGCAGCGTTGACGAACGATAGGTGCATGTGCAGAAAAGCTCCTCGCGTCAATACGTCGATAGAGCAATTTTTCATTCAGAAAGTGTTGATCACAACTTCGCACAAGCACGCATATATATTTTGCCTAACACACATGAAAACTCACAAACAAAGCTGGAACATTCATGAATGAAACACAAACAGTCATGAACAAACATGAACGCACATGAACGAACACGAAGATACATGAACGCTCACGAAGGTTACACGAACAGTACGCAAACAGACATGAACGCGCTAAGGCTCATGAAAGCACATGATCACTCGGAACTTCACGCACATTCATGACACGACACGAACAACACGAAACACACACAAACAATCATGAAAACGCATGAATGCAACCTCACATTAAAATGCACATAACTTATGAACCGGCGATTCATAAACCGTAAACGCCAAAATGAAAAGCACACAAATGCGCATCACACAAACCACAAATTACCTCAAAAAAAAAAAACTTCAAAATGTCACCTTGCTCGACGAATAGGCAACAGGTTGATGTGCAAAGTACGTTTTGCACCCAACACTCACCACCCATCCCGTGCCAATTACCCACCCTCATCCGGCCTTCACCCCTGACATCCCCCGCCAATTACCCCCCCTCCTCCTCCCTAAAGCTGGTATGGAGTCGCACGGCACGGAAATCCTTGCCGGTATCAACGCGCGGCTATGCGGTTACATGTTTGATGAGGGCATCATCTCACCATTCGAGCAAACTGTTGGTGAATCCCTCCCCGTGCCCGCCGCGAGTACGGCCGCTTCTAGTTCTCCTGGGCGTCGAAGGAGGATGTTGCGGCAATTTGCAAGCTTTTCCCCTATATGCTAAAAGTCCCCAAGTCCCGCCCTGTTATGCTGAAAGTCCATATGGGCAGGTTTCAAGCGTTCACCGCAACAAAGGCAGCCGGCACTCCCACCTTGTCCATCTAAAATGTCCCCCTGGAGATCGATCTAGAGGATATCCGCGCCTCTCTTCTCGAGGCCACCACGAGGACGGCGGGCACTGGCTCGTTGACCTGACTGCCTTCCACCGTGCCTCTGAACTTTACAAGGATACCTATTTCACCCACCTCGAAGGGCTCCGTTGCGCTACCCCCAACGACCCAAACTTCGAACGAACTCCATCCGAGATTCGGTTGGAGGCTAACAAGCCAGCTATGCTGCTCAACTTTCATGCCACGTGTGCTCACTGCGCGCCAACAACCACCGCGCATTGGAACATGGGGCTTTCACAGTCCGCCAATGGCAGCGCCTTACGGGTTACAACGCGATCTCAATTCCACACATGCTGTAGGCGAACGGTATGCAAGGCGTCTCTCTCGCATCCGCTGCAAATACCCTCTGTTCTTACTCCCAGTTCGCACCTTTAGCCTACTTCCGGTGTCCTCTCGTACACTCCCCCTCTGTCCCCAAGTATATCAACCTTCCCCCCATCTTTGCCTACCCTATTGTCCTCACCCACCCCCGCACTCACCCCCCATTATGCCTAGTTCACTAAGCGTCGCTCTCCCCTGCTACCTCCCCCCCCCCCTTCCCCTTCCCCACAGTGGCATGGGCCCCAGCCACCCAGAATAACTCACTTTGCCCATATCCCCTCCAACCGCTCCCTCCCTTCTCACCACCCATCCCGTACCAATTAGCCCCCCTTATCCGGCCTTCACCCCTGACATCCCTAGTTCCCTTAAAGCATTACCTTCCCTGGCCCTCCTGGCCCTCTATGTCGCTGGGCACTCACTTATCCACCCACTTATCAGGAGATAAACAAGATCGGCCATGAGTGGACTCCGAATTGTACTTCACGCTCACGGCTCAGGTCAGGATGACCCCCCTCCCTGACCTCTCCAGCCCCTGCAAGCTGTCAACGGGAGTTGTGTGTTGGCCCCGTCCTCGCTTGGGCGGAGCCGACTTCGTGGTCGGATGTGAGGGGAGCAGCCGGCCTGCAGCACGGGGCGAGCTGGTTGACGAGGAGGTCGACCTGCACGTGAGCCAATGCACGGGCACCGACTTCAGGGTGGCGCCGACTTCAGGAAGGTCGACCTGGGAAGTCGACCTACGGAGGACGTCAACTTGGTGACGTCAACTTGGGGCAGCCGACTTGGGTGGTCGGCTGACAAGACTGCTTGTCGACCTTGTGATTGGTCGACCAGGTGTGATGTCGACATGGTGATCGACCAGACCTGGTGGCGATGGAGGAGGGGCCGACGTCGACCTCGACTCAAGACGCCGAGCAGCACGGCGTCAAGTAGCAGGGCGTCAACTTGGTGACGCCAACTTCGGGTAGCCGACCTGGGTGGACGGCTAACCACTGCGCTGGTCGACGAGAAGCTGGTCGACGAGGAGTGCTGGTCGACGTAGAGCTGGTCGACCAGGAGTGACGTCGACCTGGAGCTGGTCGACCAGGGGGGTGGTCGACCTGGTGAGGTCGACTTGGGGTGGTCGTCGACTTGAGAGGTCGACGGGCACGTACAGGAGCAGCTGGTCAACGTGGCTGCCCGGTCGACCAGGTTACCTGGGTGACGAAGTTCCGCGGAGGAGTGCGACAGTCGCCCAGGCGAAGTTGGCGAGTCCGACCTCGGTGGTGGTATCCCGAGGTCGACATGGTGGATCAGGTGGAGTCGTCAGCACGAGGATGACCTGGTGTGTGTGCGTTGTGCAGGTGACAAGGCTTGGCCCGCCAATCATCTGCGAGCACCTGCAAAGCTGGTGCGCTGCTGTTCTACGGGAGCAGCGCTGGCACGCCGTCAACCTGCGACGCTGGCACGCCATCGACCTTGCACTGCTGGAGCGCGGTCGACCAAGTCGTGCTGGAACGCGGTCGGCCATGCTGCGCTGGCAGTCGACCGACCTGAATCCTAGCTCTGATGTAGTCTTGCCATGCCAACTTCATTGTACCAATTGTTGTCAACTTTCTCCAGTGAAACTCTTGCCAACTTGCCCCGTGAACTAGCAAGCAGTGTGTGCACTAGGAAAACGACTAAGGACCAACGAACGCAGAGATCAGACGAGCACCCGTGCCTAGCCCGTAGTCTAGCTCCCGTTGTAGTAGTTATCTCCGCATAGTATGGTGAGCGTGGACGGCACACGACTTACCTTTCAGTCAGGTCGACGTAGTGGTCACTTACCTAAGTTGCTCGTGGGCCGGCAGCCGTACAGTCCCTAGCGTGCACGTAGGTGACACAGAGGTGATGGACACCCTGGAGGGACGGCTAGAGGATGCGAGGAGACGCCATGAGGCCCAGGAGTACGGGGCGATACCCTGGGTGGTCGTCGAGGCTGGACTCCGCTCCATGTAGGCGACGGAGCATCCCCCTTCCCGACCAGCTTCGCCTCGACCGGTGACCAACGAAGGCGGCGTCGACGTGGGCGTCAACGCCGGAGGTGGCCAAGTCGGCAGCAGTGCGGGAGGCACGTCGAGGCAGCGTGGTGTGATACACGCCGACGAAGTCGGCGGCGTTTAGGCGCGAGGGGTGCGGTCGTCGGCGGCTGCAGGCTCCTTGCAGGGTGACGTCGGAGGTCGACGAAGCAGACTGTCGCCGATGTCGGCGACACAGGTGACGGCGGGCGGGATAACACCGAGCTACGGCTACTTCAAGTTTACGCCGGACAGGATCTTGGTCACCCCGCCACTCACCGGTCGACCTGACATTCTCACCTGGAAGGAGGCCATCGAGCCTCATCTGGAGATGGCCGGGCTGATTAGCTTTGCTCGAGGCACCGTGGCGACGCCGGACGACCCCGACTTGCGTGCGGAGTTTCGCGCCGTGCAGCTGTTGACCTTCACGGTCATCTCGCGGTGCTGCTCACCAGGCGTGCAGATCGCCTTGAAGTGGTGCCGAAAGTACCTCGACGCCGGCCACCAGGCGTGGCACTTCATCGAGTCGACCGTCGATGGCGCGGGTGTGGGGCTGCATGGCGCAGTTCCTTGTCCCCGAACAGCAGCGTGGTGGGAAGTTGAAGCCGAAGGCCAGATGGGGCCTTCACCTTGGCGTGTCGGGGGAGAGCAAGGGCTGGGAGCTCCTCGACATCGACGCCAACCGGATGGTCACCACGTCAGACGTGGTGTTTTACGAGGATATGTCGCTGGAGGTGTGGAAGTCAGAGCACGGGCCGGTGTCAGGTCGGACGCTGACCACCCCACCGACCGATACCTCGACGGTGACGCTGCCTCTGCTCGCCGAGGTCGGTGAGCTTGCTGATGGGGACGCCGCGGTCGTCCGTCCTCCTTCCCCTTCCCCTACGACCCCTGCCCCTCCCCTCGTGGCCAACTTGCACGGGCTGACTCCTATGTCGGCCTCCGGCGATGAGGGGAGTAGTGGGACGTCGCCTTTGGCGCCAGCCAAGGGCATCGCCGGTGGCCGACATGACGAACCGGCAAGTCAACGTGGGATTGAAGCCGACGTCGACAGGGGAGGAGCAGGTCGAGGAGCAGCAGGCCGTGAACTAGCAAGCAGTGTGTGCACTAGGAAAACGACTAAGGACCAACGAACGCAGAGATCACATGAGCACCCGTGCCTAGCCCGTAGTCTAGCTCCCGTTGTAGTAGTTATCTCCGCACAGGCAGCCCCCCCACCCCCCTCCAGGACGGGACACCCTTGCCACCAACCATCTTACCCCTTCCCCCTGCGCCGTACCCCCTTCCGCCCCCATACGGTCGGGCCTCCATCCACCCTCAAGATCTCCCCGTACGCCCATCCCTCCCCCACCGCACTCTCAGCTCCCCGTAGCATCTTCTTTACTCATGAACCCCCACTCCCTATACTTACCCATTTCACCCCCTCCCTCCATGACATTCCCCCCCTTACCCCCCTTGAGGTCGAACCTCTACTCTCCCACGAGCTCACCCCACACCCACACCCCCTCCTCGCTCTCTCCTCTCCCAGCAGACAGCGTCTCCCTACTGAACTCTCCCTCTCTACCCCCATCCAATATACCCTCCACCCCTCGCACCTTACCTCCCATGGTTGCCTGAAAGGATGGGCCTCTACCCATTTCTATGCTGGCACGGAGAGGCTTTCCTCTCCCGGTCTCCTATCCTTGTTCAAGACATCACCCTCCCCCGCTCCCCCCACACCCCGTCTCCTTCCTTTCCCTTTCCCCCTCCTCGGCCGCCCCTCCTCCAGCCCCCCCAGAGGCTCCACCCCCGTCGTCCTCCACGCGCACCCTTCTCCTTCCCTCTCCCATATATTCCACTTCAGTATATTCTCCCCAATCCCATCTCCTCTCCTCTTCTTACCCTCAATCCCGCCACCCATACCAACCCCCCTCCCCTCTCCCTCACTCTTTTCACTCCCTCCCCCCCCAAGGGACGAGACCGCCACCACTCCCCGCTCTCTGCCTGGGCTGCCCCGCCCCCCTCGAGACTCCCCTTTTCTGATAACAGGCCCCTCCCCTGGCCTATCACACACTCCTCTCAAGCAGGTCGCTCTCCACCCCCCTGGTCTCTTCTCTCCCCGTGGCTGGACCTCCGCCCACCCCCACCCCTTTCCTGCGCCTTCCTCCACTCCCTGCACCTCCCTTCCCCCACTGCCAACTCTTCCCGACGGATTACCCCTTCTCAGACCTTACCCTCATCCCCCCCTCCCGCCCCACACCCCCAACCCGCTCTGCCCCCTCTATACCTGGACCCTCTTCCATCCCCATGCCCTCCCTGGCCCGCCCTCCTCCCCTTGAATGTCCCTCCCTTGCAGGCAACATTTTGGGGAACCACACCACGCCGACTGCCTTCCACAACGACCCCAGTCTCATCTACATTGGGCTGGACGACATGGTCAAATATTGGACTTGCGCGCTTTGCGATTTCACCTGCGGCGCTGCCCTCGACAACGCCATGGATCATATTCAGTCCGACCTGCACGCCACCCGCGTGAAGGCCTCTGTCCGCCGCCCGGCTGCCAGGGAAGCCATTGGCCCTTGGCGCGCTCTCACCCTGCTGAAGAAGGCTCCGGTGGCTGCCTTCCTTCACGGACGTGCTTAGTGAGTTTGCTTATGCACCTTGATAGAAGTATTGTGCTAGACCTTTCCTTGTCGTACCTCTTAGCAAGCCCTCATCAATACTATGGAGGTTCATCTCATCTGCGTGCAAATGTGCTTAGTACTAGTATCGCATTATCCGAATCATTACTAATTTTCAGGCCAACTTGCTTACCTGAGCAAATAACCAAACATGCAATTAACAAACACGCGCCTGAACAAACACGCGCCTGAACAAACACATATCCCCACACTTGTTATAACCACCTCATGCATAAGCTAGCCTACATTCCTTTGCACCAGTCAAGCCAAGCACCTCATGCCCTGGCCAGCCGGGTGTAGACGCATTACATCATATGCGTGGGCTATAACCCACCCACCATGATTACACACCTTCACAGTCTCTCTCTCAATGTAAACATGTTAAATAGACCTTAACAAAAGAACGACATTTGTTATTGGTTGTCTTCCCAAAGCACTAGGCATCGATATCCTCATCCTGATCGGCACTAACGCACAACTACGCCAAGCTTGCTAGTACTACAAATCAGCGCGCGAATCAGGGTGAGCAGCAAGATCTTAAAAAATCGGCAGCTGTGATTGCGGAAATTGTGAAAATCATTGCTCGCCTTGATCCCGTGAGCCAGCAGAATCTGAGGCGAATGTTCACTGAAACTGGCGGCAACCGCGTTATGGCACAATCCAACGCTTCTACAGGGCGCCACATATCCGGAAACAATTCGGCGCGCTACACCGAAAACAATATTGGAGCGGCAGCAAATAATAACGACGCAATTGGACACGTCATCATCCTTCTAGCGGCGCTTGAGCGCGGCAAAAACGGTGATCCCTCAGCAACGGCTGATCCTGTTCGTCCATCTGCCGTGGCAGCAGCAGCCCGTTCCCGCGCTCCCCCTCCTCCTCTTAATCCCGAGGGTGACGACGATGGCAACCACGACAACTTGGAGAACCTCGACAAATGTAATACCACTCGTCTGAAGGCCAACCCAGCAACCCTTAGTCTTGCTCCTATACCTCCTGCACGTCCTCAGTTACACTCCTCACTCGTCAAAAGCGACGGCATCCGCACTCAATTTTTCAGCTTTGAACGTATTCAAGCTATTGCTCATTATGTCTTTTCCATATTACCTACTCATGGTGTCGAGCAACTTACTAATTACCTTCAGCAAATCATTGACAAGGCTGAGGAAAATATTCACCTTTTATATACCGCGGATCAGTGCGGTTTTGGTGTAGCCAATATGACTTCCAAGATGAAGTATGGAGAGATGGTGGAAGATAGAAATGTCAAGGCCGCAATCCAAATTGTGGCGGCCAGTAAAAAAAAAAGGCCACGTAGGCCCACTTCCGCCTCCCACCCAAGCCCTGGACCTCGCAATTGGGCCAAGGGGAATGCCATTGGACTTGGCGTAGGGATGGCGATGGGCGTTGTTTCTATTGTCAAGAGCCTGATCATGGAATAGCTGATTATCTGCAGCGGGGCCAAGGGGCTAACCAACCTTCTAAGATTGTTTAAGATTTGTGTGGCAATCTTTCGAATTATAAAGAATATTTGGAATAATCCTTCGGCCTAAATATTCTCGTAAAGAGATACTTCTTAAAAGAGAACATCCAAAACATTGAAAACAACATGCACGCACGCACACACACACACACACGCACACACACATACACACACACACACACACACACATACACACACACACACACACACACACACACACACACACACACACACACACACACACACACACACACACACACACACACACACACACACACACACACACACACACACACACACACACACACACACACACACACACACACACACACACACACACACACACACACACACACACACACACACACACACACACACACACACACACACACACACACACACACACACACACACACACACACACACACACACACACACACACACACACACACACACACACACACACACACACACACACACACACACACACACACACACACACACACACACACACACACACACACACACATACACACACACACACACACACACATATACACACACACACACACATACACACACACACACATACACACACACACACACACACACACACACACACACACACACACACACACACACACACACACACACACACACACACACACACACACACACACACACACACACACACACACACACACACACACACACACACACACACACACACACACACACACACAGACACACAGACACACACACACACACACACACACACACACATATACACACACACACATACACACACATATACATACACACACACACACACACACACACATACATACATTCACACACATACACGCCCGTGATTATGCAATACGGCCCTAAGTTCTGCTCTGCTTAAACTAAAATAAAAAAATAAAAATAAAAAATAAACAAACAAAGAAACAAATGAGAGAGAAAGACAAGACGAAATGGGAGGGAGAAGAGAGAGATCAATTGAAAGAGGAAGATGGATATTACAAATTGGTGACGTATGGGTGGGCATGTGAGCCCTAATATGTCGGCCATGGCCATCCAAGGGGTCGCCCCACAGCTTCTACCGTGCAATACAGCTAGCTAGTAATATCGCATGCCAAATTGATCCCGTGCGTGTCCCCCCATCAGCAATTTGACTTTATGCCACTCATGAGGATCTGCTGTGCGACACATGCGAGGACGCTTGCGAGAAAGTTCCATATGGTGGAACTCTTGGTGCACGAGTCGTTTCATCATGTCAATTGTTGTATCGAGGTATTGCCTACCGTGGCGGTCACAAGAACATACCCCCCACCATGACCCGAGCCACTCAGGAGCGCTGCAACACACGGCTTTTGCAGTCGCTGATTTGCCACAGGCGCAACCCATATCATTCTAGCTGAGGAGCCAGTCACCTGCGTTAGCCCACTGAACGTGGCTGTTCTGCCTTCTAAGAAACGGCTCATACTAGACATACGGCATGTAAATTCATTCCTCTCCATCCCTTGACTCTGGCACGAAGGGCTCAACAGGGTCACTGACCTAGTGCGTAGGGGCGATTGGTTGTTCACCTTAGGCCTCAAGTCTGGTTATCACCACGTGGACATTCACCCGTCATTTTGGCAGTTCCTTGGATTTTCCTTGCAAGGCCGGGCTCGCCACGGCACCATTCGTTTTCACAATGCTAATTAAGCAGCTAGCAAAGCGTCGGTGCAGCAAGGGGGGTCCGACTAATTCCTTACATGGATGACCTTTTGTTCATATGTGCTACGCGAACCGCAGTGCTCCGAATCCGAACCATGATTCTGGATGACCTCAGGTCCGCCGATTTTATCGTCAACACTGACAAATCGCAGCTCGAGCCATCGCAAAGGCTTAAATTCCTTGGTCTCATATTGGATACTAGTACAACATCTTTCTCCGTCGACGTTACCCGTCGAGATCGGTTGTTTGACGAGCTTGAGCAATTTTGTTTGACCAGCATACAAGGGCATCACATCCCCGTTCGACGCGTAGCTAGGGTGACAAGCATGCTAGCCTCCGCGGCTATGGCACTTGGCACCATAGCCCGTGCGTTCTCACATAACCTAACCTCTCAAATCAGTGCGTGTCAATCCTGGAGGGACTCAATCCGTTTGACGCCGGAATCGATCGACGAGTTGCGATTCTGGTTGACACAGTTCGACGTTTTCAATGGTTCCTGCTTCCACAACCCGCATATATATGACATCGTTATGTACGTTGATACAAGCGACCATGCTTGGGGAAGCTGCTATTCTACGCCAGATGTGTCGCGATATATATTTATATATGTTTATAACTGCCTGTAGCTTTAGCTTTAGTGTAGTTATGTTTCTTTGTTGTGGTGGTGCACCTCTTTGTTTCTTTGCTATATGTTCTTGCAAACCTATAGTGAAGACACACATTCTCGATTCTCTCTTGGCACAACTCCCTCGGCACCCGCTTGGCCTAGGCTACTAAGCCTAGGCCCTTAGTTAAACCCGTTCCTAGCTAAGTTCGTCTCGTGACATGGTAACAGAGTGGTCCGTCCTAGGACCTATTTCGTTTATGGGCCCACCACATTTCGCGACTGCTACAGTTAGTGGCGCGAAATCCGCACCTTGCGTATCTTTTTTTTTTCCCTGCTGCTCGCGCTGCCCCCCGTCGCCTGCCTCGTCGCGGCTCTCAGCGCGACGGGCGCGGCAGACGCTATGGCGAACGCCAGCGGACCCGCCGCCAGCGACCCGCCAGCGAAGTCGCCAGCGAAGTCGCCAGCGGCCCGCGATCGCGTTTGCGCCATCGACTGCAGCCAGCGCCACCTTGCACCTCGCCCGTCGCACCGGCGGTCGCTGTGGGGGGGAGAGGGAAGTAGGGATGGGAGTGGCGGCGGAACTCTGTGGGGGCGAGAGGGAAGAGGGGATAGGAGTGACGGGGGAACGCCAGCGACGATCGCCAGAGCACTGGCGATCGCCCCAGCCGCTCATTCGCCCGCTCTGCCCGTCGCATTCCCCCCGCCCCCTGCCCGTCACCCCCCCCCCCCCCCCCCCCCCGTCGCGACTGTTTGCGTGTGCAGCGGCGGTCGCCATGGGGAGGAGAGGGAGGAGGGGAAGGGAGTGGCGGTGGGACGCTGTGGAAAGGAGAGAGAGGAGGGGAAGGGAGTGGTGGCGGAACAGCACCAGCGCCAGCCGCCAGCACCAGGAACCAGCACCAGCGCCAGCCGCCAGCACCAGGAACCAGCCCCAGCGCCAGCCGCCAGCACCAGGAACCAGCCCCAGCGCCAGCCGCCAGCACCAGGAACCAGCCCCAGCGCCAGCTGCCAGCACCAGGAACCAGCCCCAGCGCCAGCCGCCAGCACCAGGAACCAGCCCCAGCGCCAGTCGCCAGCACCAGGAACCAGCCCCAGCGCCGGCCGCCAGCACCAGGAACCAGCCCCAGTGCCAGCCGCCAGCACCAGGAACCAGCACCAGCGCCAGCCGCCAGCACCAGGAACCAGCCCCAGCGCCAGCCGCCAGCATCAGGAACCAGCCCAAGTGCCAGCTGCCAGCACCAGGAACCAGCACCAGCGCCAGCCGCCAGCACCAGCACCAGCAACCCCACCTGTGACCAGCAGCCCCACCTGTGACCAGCAGCCCCACCTGTGACCAGCAGCCCCACCTATGACCAGCAGCCCCACCTGTGACCAGCAGCCCCACCTGTGACCAGCAGCCCCACCTGTGACCAGCAGCCCCACCTGTGACCAGCAGCCTTACCTGTGACCAGCAGCCCCACCTGTGACCAGCAGCCCCACCTGTGACCAGCAGCCCCACCTGTGACCAGCAGCCCCACCTGTGACCAGCAGCCCCACCTGTGACCAGCAGCCCCACCTGTGCCCAGCAGCCCACCTGTGAAAGACTGTACAGGGACCATCGTGGGTTGGGAGAGGTATGGAGGAAGACAGGGGTGGAGGGAGTGCGGTTCCAGGGGGCGACTGAAATGGGGGGTGAGGTTGAGGGCGGGTGGTTGGTTGGGGGTGGGGATGTGGGGGTTAGTAAGAGGGGACGCTGCGGCCACCCCCCCACCTCTTCTCCTCATCCCCCACTCAACCCCCCCTTTCGTAAAAGGGGGTTAGTAAGAGGGGACGCTGCGGCCACCCCCCACCTCCTCTCCTCATCCCCCACTCACCTCCTCCTGTGTTCTTATCTATTCTCCTCTCCTCTCTTCCTCTTGCCTCCTCCTCCTCACGTACCCCTCTGCCGTCTCCCACCGCACCTACCCCTTCAGGGGGTGTGACTTGCTCTAGCTATGTGCTGCAGGCAGTTAAGGGGGTGTGTCGCGATATATATTTATATATGTCTATAACTGCCTGTAGCTTTAGCTTTAGTGTAGTTATGTTTCTTTGTTGTGGTGGTGCACCTCTTTGTTTCTTTGCTATATGTTCTTGCAAACCTATAGTGAAGACACACATTCTCGATTCTCTCTTGGCACAACTCCCTCGACACCCGCTTGGCCTAGGCTACTAAGCCTAGGCCCTTAGTTAAACCCGTTCCTAGCTAAGTTCGTCTCGTGACAAGATGGCCGTGTCGGCTCACAATCCTTCCAATTTCCCCAGTCACTATCAGTCGCATCAAGCACGCTTCGGAAACTCGTCGAAATTCTCTGGGCGCTGTCGACCTTTAGCGGCGAGATCCAACGCTCACACGTCCTACTTCGAAGCGACATCCAGGCGGCCTACTATATTTTGAGAAAGGGTGGTTTACGCCAAGCCGACCTCACTCTCATCTGCTACACCATCATCACACTTTGTGTGCATCACAAGATTCGATTGACTGTGCAATGGATCCCTCGTGAACTTAATACCAAAGCTGACAGCCTTTCGAAGATTGACCATCTTGCTCGGACGTGGTTCCTCTTACTCGAGTGCCGCTGGGGCTCACATTCAATCGGCCTCTTTTCTTCGTCCTCCAATGCACAATTACTCCGCTTTTCCTCCCTGGATTATCATCAGCATGCAGTCGCACAAGATGCGATCTTTCTTAGTTGGAACGGAGAAAATGGCTATGCCTTCCCAGCAAATCCCAACCTTTCATGCCCACGCATGTCGATCTCGTACCAGGATAACTCTCGTAATCCCATAATGGCCTAGTGCCTTCTGGTGGCCACACCGTGCCCAGACGGCACCACGTGGGCGCATGATATACGGGCGAGCATGTATCTCGCTCACGGTCCCTCTTTTCTTCGTCCTCCAATGCACAATTGCTCCGCTTTTGCTCCCTGGATTATCATCTGCATGCGGTCGCACAAGATGCGATCTCTCTTAGTTGGAATGGAGAAAACGGCTACGCCTTCCCACCACCGTCCCTGATCCCAGTCTTTCTTGCTCACGCGTGTCGATCTCGTACCACAATAACTCTCGTAATCCCATAATGGCCTAGCGCCTTCTGGTGGCCACACCGTGCCCAGACGGCACCACATGGGCGCATGATATACGGGCGAGCATGTATCTCGCTCACGGTCCCTCATGTCTATGTATTGGTAGCGATACGCTGGCCTTTAGTGGTGCCGAACTCCCCCTATTCGCATATGTATGCTCTTTCGTTTAATATATTCTAATCCATTGTTACGTAAACGTCCTGGTTCATATATTGGACGCTTGGTGGGGGGTCTCTTAACGCTGACTGTAGATTTGAGCGCTCTATCTACGATCCGCACATATGAACCATACTTGCGACATTATCGCACATTGTATCAAGAGCATTCATTGTCGTTTCTCCCCGCCACTGACCTGTCGTCCTCGCTATTCTTATTGCACTCAGTACGCAGGGTTGTCACTGTCTCCGCCGTGCAATCTGACTGCTTTGCAATCTCATGTGCCCACTGGCTGGTTGGCTGCCCACTCTCCTCACAAGTAAAGGAGTACGCGAAACGACACTGTGGCAAGCCATCATTGTCAGAGGAACCTATACCCCCGGCTAAGATCTACAATGTTTGAAAATCTACTTCTTGTTGATGGATCCTGCCACTTTTCAAGGCGGTCTCATCCCTCTTCTTATGTTCGTAGCTTTCCCGCGCTTCTCTCACCTCGTTGCCCTTCAATGGCACCAAATTAAGTTCGACCACGACTGCATGTGGCTGTTCATCCCCTGCTAAACAACAGACCAGGCCGGCACAGGCGCCTGGATCCCAGTTGCCGCTGCCCGTCACTGCCCGGTCACTCACGTACAGCAATTTCTCTTCCTCGCAGGCTTTCCTTCGAACACCTTAGGCCCCCTCATTCGAGTGTTCCCGCATGCTGCGCGTGCTTCGCCATCAGACCTATCCCCATCCTACGCCACGATTCGAGGCTGGTGTCGCGAGGCATTTTGTCGTGTTGGCCTCAACCCGAATTTGCTCGGCACGCATTCCTTTTACAAGTCTACCGCCACCGAGGCTGTTGATGTTGGCGTCCCCAATCGATTCTTCAAGGCCCTCGGCCGGTGGCATAGCGACAAGGCTCGGGAGTTGTCCGTCTCACAGTTGGACCGGGAGTTGGTGACAGCATCGCGTACTCTTTAGGATCCGACGAGACCTAGCCCAACCTACCGTTACGTATCCACCCCAGCACGCCATCGTCATCTTCTGCCTATTTAATGTCTTGCTTATGACGTCTGCACTGCACACTCTTTGGAGAGTCATGTTACAATATGTAAAACTTTTAAAGTTAAACTTTTACCAATTTGAGGATTGTGATTCGATTAGAAAAGGAGTCCGCTGTAAAGGAGACAAACTCTATTTCATTCCCGTGGGTCTCTTAGACCTGCCACTTAGTCTCATTTGCATTTTCATATCTCCAATTTTGCTTCCCTCCCACCCAATCCCCTTTTTTTATAGTTGCATGAGTGTACGATAATCATGTTTAGATACCAATTGTTATTGCTTCTTCGAGTGTGCTGTACAAATGGAATCTGTAATGCTACGATGTCTGCACTGCACACTCCTCAGAGAGTCATGTCACAACTAGCACATTTCTCAATGTCCTTCGACTTATAATTCGGCTTTGAAGCTCGACGGCCTTCGTTGCTTTGTAGCGTGCGATTTGAAGTTGGGTTATGGCAAGGGAGGCCGTCGTGGCATGGTCTGGGGCTTGGGTAGCAGATAGAAGGAGAAAGTTGCTAATCAGCAATTGCAAGTGCTCGATGGTCTTAGCAACGCGGTTCCTTTCATGGTTGAAGAATTTTTTTAGTCAGAGCGTGAGTCGCGCCTTCCAGCGGTCCAAATCTGAAGGGACGGGTTAGTGCCAAGGGCTGAGGGAGGAGCTTAGGTGCCAAGGCCGAAAATAGCCAATAGCAGCTTACCGACGAAAAGGCGTTACAGGAGGGAGGAGCTTAGGCGCCAAGGCCGGGGGCATGGCGGGATTGTTAAAGGTGATGGAGCAGGAAGGTGCTATGGGGTGGTTGGAGGTATTACCGAGAACGAGGGAATAAGTGGCTGAATAGATACGGGAATGGAAGAACTGATGTGGACTAGCTAGGAGGCAGGCGGCGGGGCGGCGGGGTCGGCAGTGGGGGCAGCGGCGGGGTGGCGGCGGTCCGCATGAAAGGTAGGCTGTAGGACGGCGAGGTCGGCAGGGACAGCATGGTCGGCGGGGTTTAGCGGGGTCGACGGGATTAGTAGGTTGGCGGGGACGGCTGTGGAAGGAGAAGAGGGTGGTGCTGGGGTGTAGTGCACGAAACGTCTCAAATAGTGAGTGCTGGAGTGACATGCTGGAGAAGAGAGTCATCTCCCCTCTGACATGGCCATCCAGGGGTCAGATACGATCGGTGGGTGCGTCGTTCGAGTTGAAGTTTCCGGTGAGGAGGGTGGCTGCGCTTGCAGAGGGGGAATTTAAGGCGGGTTGGAGGACATGTTGCCACCACAGGAAGGGGCGTATACCGGAAGCAGGCGGAGTTGCTCGTTGAGATAGTTCAAGTGGATGGTTAATAGACGTCCATTGTGGGATGAGATAGAGATGGATCCGTTATACCAGAGAATGGCTATGCCTCCGGGAGGTGGGCGGGTGGAGTGGCTGACCAGGGGGCCTTGTGTGATTTGCTCTAGTTGTATGCTGCAGGCAGTTAAGAGGGTGTGTCGCGATATATATATGTTATATATATTTGTAACTGCCTGTATCTTTGGCTTTATTGTAGTTATACAAACATGTTCGTGGTGCCTCTTGTTTCATGTTTCTTGACTATACCTTGTATGAAAAGCTATTAGTGAAACCCTCTTTGGTCAATCCCTCGCTCTTGCTACTCTTATTCCTCACACTAGCTATCGCCATTTTCCTAACCTACTAAGCCTAATTCTCTTAGCTGAACACGATATCCCCCTCCTTGCAAGTTCTCGCCCTGTCAATACAACGGGCCCTCCAACGTTTTGGTGTCTCCTCAGCTGAGTCCATCGCCCGTGCCTCCTCCACACTCCCATATGAACTCCATGCATTGTCCTCGCCCATCCAGAGATCCTTCTGCGCAGCAATTTACCGTCAAAAATTGCACCACGTGCTCTCGCATAACTTCACGCTTCCATATCCCTTGCCCCCCGTGTTCCCCCCCTCCCCCTAGGCTAATTTCCGCATGCCTTTTAGAGGAACCCCTTGCCTTTAACTGCTTCGTCGTTCGTCACGACGACAAACCTTTTGGCGGGCCCTAGGAGGAACGCTTCCTCTTGTCTTTCGAGCAACGCCTTGGCCACTTTGTACGTATTACCCCCGCATCGGCCTGTCCCATCTCGGAAAAAAAAATCATCAAGCTATTCCCCCCTACCGATACTTTCCTTCGGAAGACGTATTTTCAAGGAGATCCTGGACATGGTCCCTAAAAAGCGGTGGTGAACCCTCGCCTCAGCAACTCTTCCCCCCCTTTTACCTGGTGACTAGTTCACCCTCGCCAAAAGCCCTGGAGAATCCCTCT